CATATACAACAGGTTGGAAAAGTGCGGCCCGCGAAAATGAATTAAAAACCCTATGTGTGCGGCCTGCCAAGCAACATTGGCTAGAAAACATCTTATTGTTTACGGCCAGACGCCGATTATGTAAAAAGTAACATTAAACTGAGAATAAAGTGGTGTAAAAGCAGTGCTTTGAGGATTTTGGAAACTCAATGGAAACATCAAAGTTTGGGTGCACTTGCATGCAGTTTGAGTGCATTTAGCACTGTTTCTGTCATTATTTGATTAGTTATACCACAATGCTACGCAGCAACATTGATTCTATGTTACTTCATTATAATACAAGTAGGACTTCTAGAGTATTCTTTGGCAAACAGTATATCAACAAACAGTATAAATTTTTTATTTTATTTGATAGACTATTTCCGATACGATACTCATATCACTTTCCATTTATCCGAGCTCTGTTTTCACCATTATTTAATTATATAAACAGAGTGCTACACACAAAAATTAATTATATATATATATATATATATATATATATATATATGTTATATATGCATATTTGAAAATGATATCTAGAAGTGTATTCGATATTATTGCCTTCATACCATTACTTGAATGTGATATTTAATTTATGTCTACATAATTTCATTTATGCTAAAGTTATCTTACATATACTTTTCTTAATTTTTCTTGATTTTTCTTTTAATTCTTTTCACTTTCTGCATTATATTCATTTTCTATACTTTTTTATTTCATTTCCTTTCCAGTTTTTTATTTTCCTTTCCGTTCTTTATTTTTCTTTAATTTTCTTTTCTGTTTCTTTTCCTTTCAAATACTTACACATGTTTATATATCATTTGAAAATGATAATTAGCCATCTCATAGACATGATGTCTATTCGATATGAGTGTCTTCACATCATTAATTTTAATATTTGATTTATGTTTACATAATTTCATTTATGCTAAATCTAGCTTTAATAGAGATGGTGTTTAATATCTGCATCTATCTCTCTCCCCAGGGAAGATTGGATGATTGAGTAGACTCAAAATCAAAGGGGTTTTAGGTTTTAATTCAAAGAAAATACCACTATGGCCCCTCCCCCTCCCTTGGCTGAAGCTGGCGACGGGCCTGTGGAATGATTTGGAATGAATACAATTCTTGACATGGGCACGAATTTTATTGTAACCAACAATTGAAATACCTTAAATTAACCATTGTATTCGGAGACATTATATTGGGCTTATTCGACTGGTTAATTTCGTTGAGTACGAATTTTCGTCGAGTATTATTTTCATTCGACTGGTTCGTGAGATAGACTTCGTCGACAACGAAAATTAACGTAACCAGAATGCGTTAATCAGCGTTAAGTTATGCACGTGACCAAAAAAAATATGGCCGATTGGTCAGTTTAGCAACAACATTTGCGTTAATATAATTTAGATTAAATTTCAGAAAATAAAAATTAGAATATTTATTACCCACATTGAAGTAAAAAAATAATTGTAGGCTAACAGAATCCAAAAACTGGATGAAAACATTTTTTACGAAAAACCCATACTGCCACAATCCGAAGCAGCCTTGATTACGCAGCGTGATATCGCGGTAACTATGCAACCATTTTGTTTTGTCGAGTATTTACCAGCTTTCTATTCGACTGGTCGTCTTCGTTAAGTATGATTTTACCACTGCGCAGGTGGGCGTGGTTTAACGAAGAACGACCAGTCGAATACGGCCGTTCTTTTGATTATAGGTGGATGCTGGGTTTACCAACTCTAATATTCTGTCAGCTTTTACTGGGTTGGATAAGATAGGTGACGAGTATTCGAACTGCTTCTATAAGGGTGGCGCTATGATGATGAGGAAAGATAGTAGTCTTGCGTCGTGGTGGAATCCAGCATTTGCACGTCTCCAGGAAACTACGAAGTATAAGGATATTTGTGACAAAGTCGCCGAAGTCCATGGTAGGTGGATGCTTACATTTAAATAGAACAAATTGTATCTAATATTCAAGGGGTTTTTTTTTATTTGTTTTTTGTTTTTTGTTTTTTTTTTTTTTTTTTTTTTTTTTTTTTTTTTTGGTATTTTTTTTTCTGTTCTCGAGGGCACTCACATCAAAATCTCTTGGTGTATTCCAGCCAATACTTGTCTCTTGGAAGTCTTTTATGATTAATCAAAATATCCATTATACATGCTCGATTAAAACCACAAAAACGTAGGCCTAATATCATCCTCACTTTGTTATTTAAACCGCGCAAAATGGACGGGAACCATGCCACATTATATCACTCATCGTTGATGGCGACATAACAAATGCTCAGCATGAGTCTTACAATTATCATGAAACTAAAGAAAAAATGCCATGGTTGATTTCATTTTTTTTCCCTTGTGGTCAGTTTCAATTGTTTCAGTTTATGTAATAATGATACACTTTAGTAATCCATTATACGTACATGTATAATATTAAAATTTATTTATACAACTACAGACATTACACATTCCGTCTACTATATTTCTATAATATAATCTAAGCACGTAGATAGACAAGCAAAATAAAATGATTGACGGCGTCACTGTAAAAGCAATAATCGTCATATCAATGTGATAATTAATTATGTCATGATTTCTAAAAGTTCATTTCATTTCATTTATTTAACCGAAAACAATTACAATATAAAAGGATAAAACAGTCAAAAAGAACAAAAAAATACAATAAATGTTGGTCTCCGATTCCCCACAAGGGCCGGCGGGATAACCAAAAAGTAAAATAAATTACTGTCAAAGTGGGTCTCCATCCGATGTGGGGAATCAGAGAACAGCAAAACACACGGAGAATTCTATATACATATAAATATAAATTACGGTACAATATAGAAAATAATAAGCACTTCAATTACAATCATTCAATCGTTAGAAGCATCCTTGTATTATTTTAAAAATATATATTTATGTGATTTGAGTTTATTTTTTACAAATTAGTTAATGATAAAATTAAAAGCAAATCGGATACAATAAACAAGACACTCAGAAGATCCGATATGCAGACATGCCCAAGCATGATAATTGCAGTCATTGAAAATTATGGTTATAATAGTGTTTCCTGAGTTGAAATTATCACGGACTTCCAACTGGAGCTTATCCCAAAGAATGGGAAAGTAATTCAAATTGGAAAACTTAAAAGCATTAGTCCGGGCAAAGGCATGCCTGAAAAGCAAGTCTTCTGAGTGTCTTGTGTTGATCTTAACAAATTTCTGACAATCAAAGTCGCATAGACAGTAAAAACATTTGAATACAAATAAAATTAAAATATATTCAAATCTAGCCTTCATAGAGTCTGTCATTGCAACATAATACAGAACGAATTCAAAAGGGATGCTCATACGGGTTGCCTTTTTCTGAACTTTTTCAATGGACCTGATGTGTCCAGCCTGATATGGAAACCAACTGGGCATTCCGTATTCAAAAATCGGTCTCACGAGAGAGTTAAATAACATAGTAAAAGCATCAGAATGATTATACTTAAGGGTTCTCTAAAACCTAAGAGTTTTAGGCCCCTAGAAGTAACTTCATTAACATGAGCGCCCCAAGAAAGATTTAACGAAATATTAAGACCAAGGTACTTATGACAGGATGTAATCTGAAGGCAAGTATCGTTAACAAGATAGCTCAAGTTTACCGTATTAATCTTTTGCATAGCAAATACAATACAATTATATTTAAATAAGATATGTCTTAAAAATGAATAAATAATTAGCTTTATTGCTTAGTAATAGGTGTAGCATTAACAAGTGCATCAGGATTTTATCTGTTACTCATATTATAAGTTAATCGTGAAGTCATCACTGTAACTCCCAATGTTATTTTCCTATCCCAAACTGTGTACTGATTTCTCATTAGTGCGCGGTTTACTTGACCTTTTAGGTTCGTGTGCAAAAGGCCAAAAGAAAATGTATCACTCAGCCAATCAGGATTTTTTTCATGCATTAATCTAACCTTAGTAAATAATTTCCACTGGTGTATAATACGCAACTATATTAATGGCTTAATATATAATACAACCAATATTATAAGACCTTATGCTAATCCATCTAATTCTAACGCGTTTAAAGTTAAGTACATAACTATTTAATAGAATGATTTGTTGTCATATGATCGTTCTTTGGGGCAGTCACATGACCAGTAATGTTAATACATAGCATTTTCATAAAACAATAATAATTTCACATCTAATCATTAAGATGTTTCTAAAAATGTCTAGGAAGAAATACATTTTTCAAAGTTAAAACATAATACCAACATTATTTCAATCTCAAAACTACTTTAAAGATATAACGGCCAAATGCTTTTTCATCTATCTTAATTAAACATAATAATTGTAACAACTACGTACGTTTGCACAGCAAATACATTGTCTCTTGTTTATTGAGTCAATAAGTACTATTGATTTTTAAAATTTTTTCGAACGATAAATACTATACAGCATACATAGTATGAAATCTACAACGTTTAAATTATCATCAAATATATACATACATGCATTACCATATAGCTTTTCTTCTTCTTTTTTGACGGTAAGTAAATTCTTCAAAGAAATGTGTAAACAGTGATGCCCGTATAACGACACGACAACGACACGATAAAAAAAAAATGGGTTTAAGAATATACGACAGCGGTGATCTTGTCGTTATCGTTTCTAGTGTAAATGTAGCTTTGAACCAACATTACCATTATTCTGAGCAGAGGGAGAGGGTCTCGAATAGTTGGATGTTAATATCTTCTGTAACTCTCGCAATATCATGAATGATTATTGCATCTCTGAATGCGTCAACTTGTTCATCAATCGAGTCAACATCAGCACTCTCAAATATATCACGTCTGTAGATGTTCTCTTGGTTTTTAATAAAGCACTCCATACTACGAACCAGTCTACGCGCCTTGCGTTTTAAAACCACTCGTTTAATATCACTAGATCCGTTCTTCTCTTTATCGTAGTGGACCAAAAGTGACAGACGTCTATTGAAGACCTTCATCCACTCAGCTGCAGTGTTAGTAGCGGGCCCTTGTTGATCTAGGTTTAAAATATACCTGTCCAGTGCACTGCTATCAAAGACAGCTGTTAGGTCGGTCATTTTACTTTTATAATTCAACAACGAGGCTACAAACTCTTTTCTGGCATCTGCGATGAACACCGGTTCGCAGGCGAGTTGGTCGTTGATAATTGTCGACGAGTTAATAGGTGGACAAGTACGTGTACTTCGATAGTGCCTTTTGTGAAAGCCTGCAGCCTGTGTCGTCAGTAGGCTTACAGTCAGAAACACAAAAAACAATATTTTTGTATTCCAACGCATGCTTTGTATGTATATACACTACACAAAGTGTACTGGACTTCTCGGTTCGAAATACTGAAGAACCAAAATGTCTTAACATTTTCCAAAGTTCTCCAAACTCTTCCATTTTATATTGTCAACTTGCAGCACAACTGAAACTCTAAAACATTAAGGTTGCAATATCAGATTCGGTTGCTAGTGCACGAAGGAAATTTCATAATAAATAATCGATTGATAATCGTTTCAGAGTGACGTAGACCTAGTCTGTCGATATTCTGTTGTTGAAACTCTAGTGAAAGTGTGGTCGTTATAGGTATGTATTGTGATCTGTAAATGAAGCAACTTTATTGGCTGTAAATTCCCGGTTAAAATGTGTATAGTTTTGTGCCTATCCCTGTCAATGATTAGTTATCTGTAACTTTTACATATATTGGCGGGCCACTACATCACAAGTGTCATAAATCCTTCTTCCAAATATAGAATTAGGAAACCATCGCGTGAAGATTTTGTGTTAATCAGAAATAGATGTACTAAATAATATGTACGCGTGAAACTATGTACAACTGTGTGAATGACATGTGCAAATGTGCGAGTGAGATGTCCAAATGTACGAGTGAGATGTGCAAATATACGAGTGAGATATTTTTTTAGAAGATGGACACTTATACGATTGAAATATACCTTTGCAGGAGTGTGAAGGGCAGTTGTTTGAATAAGATATGCAAGACGTACAAAATAGATACAAATACACATCAATAATGCATCTACAGCTTATATTCCCAAAAGTGACAAACAATTCACATTTTCATTTCTATATTTCTTTAAATTTAACCTTATTTTTTTAATGTAACAAGTTTGATCAATGCAGTATTCAACCCTTAAAAATAACAAATAGTTAAGCTAATGATTTAATTTATCGATTAAACTTTTTTGGAGTGGAATGTTTGAGAAAACATGTTCGTATGATTATAGCCTAAGTTTATAAAATAATAATAACAATATTAATACTAATAATGTTAATTCAAAATGTGTACGTTATAAACTTGTACAATTGTGCCCATGTTATCCCCTAATATAATATCTATATAATTTAAATTTCTCATTTGATTTAATGTACACAATATTCAACGGTATACTTGTTTATATGATAATTTTTTTAACTGTCAGGTAAAGTATTTAATATTACATAGTTGTGTCTCTATATTTCTCCCATTCATATAACCATAGGCCTGCCACAGTGTTAAAACTGCTACTTTGTGAGCGTATTCAAATATACGTTACACTATCACTAGATTTGCAAAGCAAGTACGTATTTTTCAAATTTCGACATTATGCGAAATAAAGTAATAATTAATATAAAATTTACAACCAAAAGATCTTTTTTGCATGGCAAAATACTTAAAATGATATATATATATATATATATATATATATATATATATATATGTTCTTAATCTACAATAACTGTCAAAGGTTTGACTAATCTCATAAAATATGCTTCTGTTTAGCATTACATGATTGCATTACAACAGATTTAAAACGTTCTTAATAACTACAGTATATAGATAAAATAACATGTCTGTATTCAATATTCACCAGTATATTTAATTGGAGCAGATAGATAAGGTGTCAAATAACTGGTTTTCGAGGTCTGCTGTGATTCTTGTCATATCCAGGATGATTATTCCATCTCTGATTGCGTTAATCTGTGCATCAATTGCGTCAACATCAGCGGCGTTGAATGTATCAGTCGTGTAGCTGCTGTCTTGGCTTTTGATGGCGCATTCCATGTAGCGAAGTAGTGCGTTTGCTTTGTTGATTACGCTCGTCCGTTCTGGGCTAGTACTAGGTGTGTTCTTCTGGGTGTCATAGTAGACTAGACGTGAGAGACTACTGTGGTATTTTTTCATCCACTCTATGTGAGTAAGACCCGTTTGTCCAGCCTGTTGCCCTATGTCAATGATTAGCCGGTTTAATCTGTTGGCATCGAATAAACTTGTATCAACGTTCGTTTGAGTATAGTTTGCTAAAGTGACTTCTAGCTCTTCTTGGACGGAGTTCATGTCATCGGGCTTGCACGTGAATTGGTTATTCACGATGGTTGTACTGTCGATGTCTTGACAAACACTTGTCGAGCGTTTGCGTCGGATGCTGAAACCCTCAGAATAGGTTGACAGAAAGACCATGACAATCAAAAGTGCTAAAGTTCTCATTGTTTTGTTTTGATTTTTTTTTTTTTTAGTATTTCGTTTATAGTTCGTAAGTGGCACAAGAGGAGTGTATGAAAAATATTTAAAGTGTCCCTTTTTATAGAGCTACAATGTTGTTATCTTGCAATAGAAGTTCAGCTTCATTACACCAGGACCGCAACACCAATTTATATGCTATACGATTGCCATCATTTATTTCAAAATATCGATTTTAACTTTGCCAAATATCAATAAGTTGTATCTAACTGAATCTAAACTCGTTTGGAATGGGTAATAACTATATGGAAGTGACAACTACTAGTAACTATTTATAATATACATTTCATTCGCTTTCTTAACTATTCGTTATGTTTCCTCATGCTGAGTTCAGTGATCTACCATACTAGTATTACGCCTGTTTTTGTTACAACTCCATACGATACGACTCTACAGTCACACGTTGCTAAGGTAAACTTCTTTCACTCCAAGCTGTTAAAAAGCCGTATAAACTCATTTCTTTTCTATTTTCTGGGTTCACTTCGGTCTTTTTTCAATTTAGGATATATTTTATAGTTCAATCTAGTATTTTTTTATTATTATTATTTACATGTTTATAACTCTTTCAATGCAATAAATTATTACATGATTGCGTTATTTTGAAATTTATTTTTTCTGTACTTTATCTAAGAGCAAGTTTGAATCCTGTTTTCAACCGTCCATCGATAAGTTCGACGTAGTAAACAAACTCTGGCAAATGTGATGTAATAGACCGGAATTCAATATTCATATATTTATTCATCAATGAACCTTTGCGCTAAGCCCCGCCCCTTGGATATTGTTGCTAAGGTCTCACAAATCAAAAGTGTAAAAACACACGCACGTGCGTTTGTGGAACAACACGAGTGCACATTCCTGGTACTGTTCTGATTGGTCAGTTGTCAAGTTTGATTGACACTCGGGAAACGTCTATTCCGTTAATGTTAAGCTCTGTTTACACTATCAAATTTTATGTGTTTTCAAGTAAAGGCCCATTTACACTAGACACGATTACGACACGATACAGATGCGCGCAGTGTTGAAGAATACAAACTACGCGATGATATGTCGTTGTCGTAATCATGTCTGGTGTAAATGTGGCTTAACATATGTTCTCTATTAAGTAATTGAAATTGAAGTAATTTTTTTTCTATTTTACAGGCGATCGTCCGGGCGGCGACGTGTCCGTGATATGTCTTTGAATATTGAAGATGATGATGTTCTAGATAAGTTTACACTTTCCCCCAAGTTGCCTAGAAGACAACTTCGTTCCATCATTAGTGATTGCTGAACAGACGGGAATTTCAAATTTAAGGCCTTTATAAGCTTACGAAAATTCAAGTACATTACTTAGCCCGTGTCATCTATACGTACGCGACGGTGTTTACTGACGCACACAGATGTAAAGTAGATCAGATTCAAAGTGGCCGAGGCAACACATTCTTTTTCTATTTCATCATGTTAATATCCATTTTCTTTTTGGATAAATATACAGTAAGATTGTTTTTTACAACTACTGTTGCTGTTTTAAGTATTAGGCCTACCAATTTGTAGATATTTTATTATTAAACACCGACATTTTGTCTACTAAGTTTAAGCATAGGCCTTTGTTCTGTTTTTCGTGTACACAGGGCAGGGAAGTACATTCGTCACATAAGATTCTATTAATAAGCTCGAATATTACCAACAGTGTTTGCTAATTTTTAAGGTTTATCAAATCCTCGCGTTATATCAATATGCATGAAGAAATATTTTTAGGCTATGATGTCGAAATTTACAAATATTACACCGAGGCCTGTATACAAAATCAAAAGATTTTAGTTCTTCAACTAATTATGTGGACAGTTACCAATTCAACAACCAAAAAGGACATTCTGACTCGGTTGTTAACATTTCTCTTAGGCCCGAACATAAGTTACACATTCATGCTATTACGTAGGCCTAGATTTGCACTGAGCGCCGAATTTGACTGGTATTAGACATTTCGTCGGAAAACCCGGGAAGCTATTTTGAAAAGCCAAATGTGTGTTTACGGTATGCTCACACTAAACTACACAATCAATAATCAAAATTAATGAAGCATTTATCACAATCGAATGTGTTGTTTAAAAAGCCCTAACACTTTAATCGTATTGCATATTCAGTCATTACAATAGCGGCCCCTCTCGCATCATCTGTGTCTCTTATACACATCTAGATGTGTATAAGAGACAGAGATTTTTGGCTATGCCCTCTTCAACTACTGTCTCTTATACACATCTAGATGTGTATAAGAGACAGTGGTGGAACAGAGGGGATATAAATACATATGAATCGAGGTTCAACAGTAGCTTTGATTTGACTTTGTATTACTACAGTTCGCCCTCAATTTAAAAAACCACTCTAATTCCGAGACCTCTTTTCAAAGTACCAACTAACCACCTATTTATTTTTATTAACACTGTGCTCGCCCTTTAATAATGAGACCCCTCTAATTCGAGACCAAGACCATCTTTATGGAAGTACAAAGTGACAAAACGACCTCCAATTTGAGACCATATTTGGAAATATAATCGAACAGATGTTTTTAACAATAAATCACTGTAATTTGAAAAATTGAACCTCAACATTACATAACAGTTTAATTCATTCTCTTTTTATATTTTATTCATTTTTTGTTGTTGAAAAAGCCAGTTTTTGAAAAGAAATTTGTAGTGTTAAACCACGGACCTATTAATAGGTCCGTGGATGTGAACCAGAACGACCTTAACAATAGTTTTTGATTGTAAATCTTTGATGACACGTTAGAATATCATTCCATATAGGCCTATTAGATTGACGGAAGGATAGTGACTTTCATCGTCTATGTTTCGCTAGCTACGTGTCTTTATGTAGTCACTATGCGAGTCCCAGTCAGTTTTTCGCAGTATTAGACCATTTACAGAGAATAATCGGAAGAATTTGGGACTAAACATGCTAGAGGGTAAGGAGCGAAGCCTAAAAAATTATTATTTTCAGCGTGTTTTTAAAGTATTATCTATGACAGGACATACCTATTCATTCAAAAACACAAAATTCTCTCCAATGATCAATACGGTTTCCGAAAGGGATATGATACTGTACTTCAATGGCCCTTCTGCAACTGACAGATAACATTGTGGATGCTTTCGAGAGCAATGCATTTGCCACTGGTACTTTCGTTGATCTCTCGAAGGCTTTTGATACCATTGACCATTCAATGGACCTTTCCGCTAAGCCCCGCCCCTTGGATATTGTTGCTAAGGTCCCACAGGGCGACAGTGTTAAAACATACGCGAACACGTGCGTTTGTGGGACAACACGTGTGTTTGTGAGACGCGCGCGTATTCCTAGCGCTGTTCTGATTAGTCAGTTGTTAAGTTTGATTGACACTCCGGAAAGGTCTATTCTCCTGTCCAAACTTCACAATTATGGCATTCGGGGAATCACAAACGAGCTTGTTAAAAGTTACCTTTTAAACAGACTCCAATGTACTAAATATAATAACACTTTCTCTCAGTTTCTTCCAATGTCTCATGGAGTCCCCCAAGATTCTTTATTTGGTCCTCTTTTGTTTTCCCTATAATAATTATTGATATAAATACGTCCTTCAATCAACTTTTATTTTTTCTTTATGCAGACGACACTACTGCTCTCTATACCAATAAAAATATTCAGACACTTGTTGATGTCGTTAATCAAGAACTTACTGTTTTCAATTATTTTTCTGCTAACATAATCGCTGTAAATATTTAAAAATGCTCTGCAATTATTTTTCGAAACACTAATAAACACATTCCTTTTGAAAATGATTAAATTTTCCTTAAATCTTAAGAATCACTTAATTTCTAGTTACAAAAATTAAAACCAAAATAAATTTTCGTCCTCTGTAGACTATCAGTTTTGTCGTTTCTGTCTCTTTTTTTGTCCTTTTCTTCTTGTAACGTCGTTTTTGTTTGTTTGTTTTTTGGGGGTTTTTTTGTCCTCTGTCTCCTGTTATTGTTTAGATCTTAATTATTATTTGTATTATTATAACTTGTTGAATTTTTACTTGTTTTACGGGCTTGCCTCACACAAGCACTTGCTTTTTTGGCTATGCCCTCTTCAACTATTTGTTATTCTCATCCTTTAAATTGTTTATATTGTACTTATGATTATGACGAAATGTTTATTTGAATGAATGAATAAATAATAGGATACAGAGAAATATAATTCGAAGTTTGTATAGCTACATTGAGAAAATGATAAATGAAAAACGTAAACAAATATTTTTTTAAATATGCCTTATAATGCTACAACTTGAGTACATTGAAATTAATTTGATGCAAAACCCTTCATTGTAGAGTGAAATACAATTTGTTCTAAAATTAAGGTTCAAAGCAACAACAGTCGAATATAGTTATAATGATATTTAATACCGATTCTAAAGTAATGCCTATAAATTAAGAAAAATAAATATTGCATCTACAACATAATTCTAATTAATGATATTCCTAAATTATATATATATATACAATATATAATATTTAATATATATAATATATATATAAATCAAGCAATTCAAATATTGAATTTTATTTTCTGTTTGTTAACGTAACATAACATAAGTAATATTATCAATACCAGTCAGTTAAAATGCTAGCCTATCGATTCATTTTATCGTATTGAATTTGTAACGAAGAATATAGAACTGCAAAAAATACTGCCACGAAGGGGATGGCCTTAAAATTCGCGTATCGAGCGAACGCTATTCGAATTCTAATAGGGCGCCCTCTATCCCGTGGCAGTATTTTTTTACCGTTTAATTGCGTGAATACAAAATCTGGGCAGTCAGGCCTCTTGCAATTCTCGCTTTGCTTATATAGAACAAAGTTATAAACATTTCATTCACACACAAATATTTGATACAATAACCATTTCTGATAGTAAATATTACTACAATATCGATCTAAATTGCAAAAGCAAATACATTTGTTTTCAATTTTCGTCTTTATGCGAATTTAATAAAAGTAAGCCTTAGGCTTATAATAACTGATCCGAAAGGGATTCATTTGCATAGCAAAATACTTAAAACGACAATATCATGTCTAGTTCTCTATTTCTACAATAGTTTTCAAAAGCGTTTCTACTCATGTTGACCAACACCACATCGATTTATAATTTGTGTTACTCGAAGCAACAACTGCAAACAATTTTGAGTTTTAAACATTTATAGTTATGATTAACGTGACTCTACACTCTAAGCATACTGTACACCATAAGCATAAATAATAAAACTCGTATGAATGTTCTGTATCAGTCGATCTAACTGTCTAGCAGACAGCTAAGTTTACAAAGAGGTCTTCCTCAATGTTTTTTGTAATTGTTGTCATATCCAGGATGATTATTCCATCTCGGATTGCGTCGATTTGATCATCAATTGCGTCAACATCAGCGTCGCTGAATGTATCAGGTGTGTAGCTGCTCTCTTGGCTTTTGATGACGCATTCCATATAAAGAAGCAATATTTTTGCCTTGTTTCTTCTAATAAGAGAATCCGTGCTGCCAGATCCGTTTTTCTGCGTTTCGTAGTAGACTAGATGCGACAGACGTCTGTAGTACAATTTCATTCGCTCAATGTGATCGTCGGTATTCTGTCCTTTTTGTAGCACCAAGTTTAGAATTAACGAATGGTTAGGATTGAGTAAATTCGTTACAACGCTCTTGCGAGTATGGTTCGCTAACGTGATGTCCAGATCTTCAATGACGGCGTTCATGTTGTCTGGCTTGCATTGGAATTGACCATTAACGATGGTCGTACTATCAACCTCTTGGCAAATACTTGCCGAGCGTCGACGTCGGACACTAAAACCCTCACACTGGGTTGCCAGAAAGATCATTACAGCCAAAAGCACTACATACGTACCGGTATTCATCTTTTTTATTGAGTTCTACTTAGTTTAGGCCTCTGATTATATTGTAAGTGGCACAAGAATTGTGTATGAAAAATATATTTAATGTCCGATATTTAAATACTTCCATTTTTTCTATCTTACAGTAAAAGTTTATTTTTGTTACATCATTGTCGCAATAATTGCTGTCCGGTGCACGATGTTATGTCATCGTACTGGCCTATAATCTGACAAAATCGATTCCAACTTTGTCAAACATCAATAAGTTGGATTAAAATTAATCTAAACACGGGTACAATAGGTTTTCCCCTGTATTCGCGAGCAATACTCGGAAACAAATAATGCGAGTCGAGTCGAATGCCTGCAACCTCGGCGCTGCGACTGCGGGTTCGAACGGCAAGCGCTCGTCTATGGTTCTGGAGGTGAAAAAAAATCTTCTCGGATAAGGACTAGGCCTATAAACCGTGAGGTACACGATTGGCTCATGTGCACTTTAAAGAACCCAGAACCCAGTACATCTGTCGATATGAGTAGGAGGTTAAATTTAATTTCAATCAGGGGGTTAAACTATTAAGTTTTTGCAGTCCCCTGTTGCTTGTGATGGAATTGCCATTTTGAAGAGTGATTTAGTTCATTGTTTGGCATATACTTGACCCTAGTGACTAGCTTAATAGACAGAAAATTTTAAAAAAATACGCAGTCCATGGCAGTTCTTTGTTCGTTGTTGATGGTTTTGTAAGACACAAAACCCTTTGTGCCTCAGCATTGGCAAGTAATAGATCTGATATCGCTATACTGGTCTTTATTATGATATATCGGCCTCTCTCTGGTCGTCTTCGTGTGCCTGGTTCCCATGGATCTTATTTTTATTGGCAATTTAGAGTCGGAGTATCTTTTTTTTCATTCGCCACATGAATGATGATGATGATGATGATGATGATGATGATGATGATAATGATGACGATTATGATGATGTTGATGGTGATGATGGTGATGATGATGACGATGGTTACAGTAAGGAAGATGACCTTTTTCTTATGAGAAGAATAAAATAATTGGCATCTGTGGTATGAACATAAAGCCCCGGGTGACAGCGATATAACTGTCACATGAAGACTGTTCATTCACGTTGGAAACAGAAGCAGAAATGGAAACTTACAATACCATGCAACTAAGGCACGGAACGAGTTCTCCAACCAAACAAATTTTAATGATCTTCAATTTAAATAAGATAAAAATACTGGCTTAAATTCTGAAACCACCTAGATTTGTCCTCTTGAATTAAGTTTATGCACGGCAGTAGTTGGCGTATGTATACGTGACGTTGTTGCGTTTCGTTCTCTCAACCTCAAGGTCAGGGGTTCGAACCTTTGCTGTAACATTTCGCTTGTGTTGTTTTGGACAAGCAGGGGTCAAGAAAGTTTTCCGGAACTCGCGGGAGTCTCCCGGAAATCGTGACGGCCTCCCGCACTCTAGACTTGCCACAAGGCTCTAATTTATGGATTTTCGTAGTATTAGCGCATTTCGGATTGCGCCACCAGCGTCAGTTTATGTTGAGAAGCTTTTTTGATGAGAATTAATCCCAGAAAAGGTATACTATGGAACGCCATGCAAATAAGTAATATGGAACGCCATTTGTGCCAAAATCGATTTATTCTTAAGCATTTCAACTGATTAAGACAAAGATTAGGGACTGGAACCCAATCTACCCGCATTCCAGCAAGTACACAAGAATCTCCCGGAAGATACAGTAACACATCTCCTGCAAATTCATAATATTTGCGTGTTTTTACTACCGTACTTTATTATTAATTTTCTTACGGATGTCAGTGCCGATGTAACGGATAACACCGTGGGCAGGAAAATAAAATTAAGTTCATTTCATCAGATCTCCCGGGGATTTCTTTCTTGTGGCCCCTGGACAAGGCACAAACCTACGTTTGTCTCTTTCCACCCAGGAATGTAAATGGGTACCCGGTTGACTACTGGGGAAGAAAAAGGCGGAGCTGAAATTAACTGGCCAATCTTAAATCTACAGTACCACAATGCTGAGGCTTAGTAGGCTTAGTTACCGTACCAAACGTCTCGCAGCGTGCAGGACGGTTCTGCTTTTCAAAGCGATTTTGGATGGAACACGCATTTTGCAGAAACACATGCGTGATCATAAATTTGTCACGCATTGAGCACAAGTCTATGCGTGATAATGAATTTTCACGTATTCAGGAACAAATTATTTAAAATTAGAAAAAATTGGTTTCATATTAAAAATATGAAAACGGTCAAGCAGTAGCTTGAGTCACTAGGAAGCGTTCTTTATCTAGTTTGAGAATCAATTCACTGAAAATTTCTCTTTCCCGACCAAAACCATCCAGCCAACCACGTCACTTTCACGTCGAATCTAGTAGTCACGTGCAGGCTTGCGCGTTTATTGTCACAACCAGCCATTGATTATGTGACTGGGAACCTGGGCCCCCACCGGGTTTCCTCCCCTGGACCCCGGGCCCTGGCGGCCTCCTCTCCACCCAACTGGGTGTAGTCACGCATTTCAAATCTCTTAGGTTGGTAACTATGAGTAGGCCTAGCGTTGGGCTAACACCTCTTTCCCCTACGTTCAGTAATGAATAGGGGACTACGGTACCTTATGTACCGTATTTGATTTATAATTCTGATATTCATTTCCTTTTTTATTTTTTAGCGGTCTACTAGTGAAATCAGTGCTGCGTCACTGAAAAAGGCGTAATCAGAATAAATAATTGTTGTTGTGTATCGATTTATTCAAATGATGAATACATGTCTAAGGACAAAACACAAAATACGTATGGTAAAGAAACTAAGTGAATTAAGTACCTGAAGACAAATGCCTGTTAGCATGACCAATTTCGCTGACGTTTTTTTCAGTGTCATCGGACTATTCCTGAAGATGTGTGCCGCGCTCAATCGTGTTCTTTTTCTTTCTTTTTTTTCCTCGCACTGGTTATCACACGATTCCCGAACGATTCCTGAATTTGTGATCCGCTCTCAATCATTTTTTTCTCTCGAACTGGTTATCGCATCACACCATAATTCCTTAACTTCTTAAGTTGAGTACGGAAGCACCTAAGTGCACTTAGGTGCTTCCGTAGTTGAGAGCTGCGCTCAATCACTTTTTTAATAATCAGAAAATGCATACCCACATCATTCAACAGTAATGATTAGCGCCCTCTATCTTGGAAAACTCAGCGTAGTGTGAAGATTAATAATAATACAGGTCTTCCTCCAAATTAAAGACCACATTTGGACAGGTGTTTTAGTTTTGGTCTCTAATTGGAATCCCTCTAATTGAAGATTAACACTAAAAGTGGTCTTAAACACCACATTTAAACGGAAATTAAGAAATGATATAGTAAATTTAATATCGTTTTAATTTTAAGTGCTCTAAAATAGATTTGCAGGTACTGTATGCTATTGATTCTTAATAAACCATTTTGGGTATTCAGGTATTCACACACAGGGCCTAGGGCGGGCGCCAGTGGGGTCCTGGGGCCAGGGCCCTCCATTGTGGAGAGCTGGGCCCCATGTAAAGGAGGAAAACCACTATTCGTCGGGGAGAAAAAAAATTATACTTATTTTCTAAATATTTTAGTAGATATCTATAAAATCGATTGAATAAGCCTTTGAAACCTCCTCTAAATTAAAGTCACTATATATTGTAATGTATTCTTTATTTAAAGGAAATTGCTTTAGTTTTGTTGGGTCTGCCTAAACCACACATGATACATTTAAGTTTGAATATCCTACTAACACAATCGGGCATTCAATGGAGCATGTATGCACATCTTTACTAAAATCACTGTTTATATTTTAAAATGTATGCTTATTGTCTAAGAGCAGGTTTCTACTGACTAGAATACGCAACCATTTTATGTGGAGTCATAATGCAGTTGGGATGCTGTTCTATGATCTTTTTAATTCGATAATCAACCAATGATAAAAGAACCGTTTCTATCTATGATATTATAAATAAAATGGTTTAGTATAGATGTGCAGTTACTGCATGTTGCTATTTTATTCTTAAAATAATGGATTTCTTTGAAATTCAGACATCAATTCCTGTGCTTGTTCTAAGAACTCCGTTAGAGTATGACTAACATCACCACTAACATTATCGTTACTCAATATACACAAAACATCATCTTATAATTACTGTATGTGCATTGGCTAATATTTTTATGTATTAAGGCCTATAACAAAATTTATTATAGAATATTTTGATGTTCGTTCATGAACCTATTAATAAGATTATTAATAGGTCCATGGTTTGTTGGTGTTGACGTGTTTATGCCAGATTCAAGGAACACTTTTTTATGTATTTTTATGTGAATAGACCAATAAAGCTTACGGTACCTTATCTTATCTTATCTAATAATATTAGGCCTATTTTATGTTGGTCTTTAATTGGGTGGGGGGCACATTTTTCATTGGGTCTACTAAAACCATGGTCTTTGGAAGTCTTTAATTGGAGGGAACAGCTAATGTTAAGATATGAATTCAAACGGGACCACAAAAAGGTGGTCTTATTTGGAGGTGGTCTTTAATTAGAGGGAGACCTGTACTGATAGTTGCTAAACACTGTATTATATTCAAGAGATGATTAATTTTATTTAGCCGCCACACCTCCTCCGGGATGGCCCTCGCCTTTCTCGCATAATTTTCTATGTATGTGTGAGCTTTTATCCAGTTGTGTCAAACATGTCATGACTTTAGAGCAGATCATCGTATACTAGGGGTGGAGGTTGTGGGGGTGAACTTCAATGCGGAAGTTATGATAACTGCCGTGGTGGGAGAGCCAACATCTCTATACCAAGTCAGCTAGTGCCAAGAATAATAAGCCATGGAGTGAGAACCACCTCGATGCTATCAAACCAATAGTTGAATTCTGAAAATACCATGCATGTCCGCCTATTACTACAGACTAAAGAAACGTCTGTTTGACCAGCATTTCCCCAATTAATTTTCCACTTTCTTCCATGCATTATTATCTTTTTAAGTCTTTCCACTCTCGTATTATCCGTTTTCCTTAGCTCTGGCACCATGCTGATACCAGCGCCTTATAAATATCCACTATCATTATTATGTAAGTAGCGAATTGAGATTTTGTTTTTTTCTTTTTTGCCAGGGTGGTGCGAGAATGCCAGTCGAGGACCTAGCTAGGTTCAAAAGCTGGTGGAGGGAGAGAAACGTTTTGGGGTGATCTCTGGGGTTCCAGGAAGCACATGCCACTCAGTGGGGTTCCAGGAAGCACATGCCACTCAGTGGGGTTCCAGGAAGCTTGTCACTCTGGGAAGCTTCTTGAAGCTTCAGCAATTAGGCCTAAAGTAATATTCTAAATGATTTCGCACCTAGTGATTTTTTGGCTGGTCGGAGAGGGAGGGATAGGAAGGGGCGTTCGCCCCTCATTCGACCTTCCTGGCTACTGATTCCGTGTGGCTCCAGAAATTTGCCACAAGCCCGGACAGATGTCCAAAAATTTTGTAAGGGGGGGGGGAGTGTGGGGTGGTTCATGGGGAATGTTTTTAAGGCTTTCGTTGGCCCAGTTATTAGTGATCGACAGTCAACAGTTGTCCGACGACCACCCGGGCGACCACCACATCGTCGCGTTGAAAGACTGCAGAGTTCAGCGCCCGGCCTTACAGCACTGCCCCTGATCATACATATACATTATTTAAGAATCCAGATGCCATTTCAAAATGAACTTTTTGAAAATCTGGAATGCGCACCGCTAACTCTGTCTCATAAAGTCTGTCACCTGTCACCACATCGAATGAAAATAACCACTCCATACCGGAATTATAATTTTCATAGCTATAAGTAAAATTTCATATGATTATCGGCTCTATAGCTTTACTACTTTAGCAAAATATATTTATTTTTCTGTTTGTTTACTATTAGGAAACTTGGTGAACTTAGGCCTATATAGTTTACTATCAATTACGGTATTATTCTAACCCATCGAAAAACTTTTTTAGTGACTTTTGATATTATTGAATCTTAGGTTGATAATTTTATTTTTTATTCAGGAATTAAATAGGATTTAGAGTAAAATTCAGCCTGGAATTTGTTTTCTAAATAATTTAAGGCGTATTAAAAACATGTTACTGTATTGTGTCATGTTTTCAGTTAGTTGCAGGCCTACGTTACACTGTAAACGCTTCTTAATGTTTAACAGCTCTTTTCATTACTATAGTTGGCGCTAAAGGTTATACAAACGATCGAAGACTAGACATACGATCACAGCCAACCACATACGGGTTTTTTTCAGCTGCTGATGAAAATAATCGGTTCGTGTTGTTGGGCCGAACCGTTTCAATGATAGAAGTCCGTACCTGTACGGGGATGAAATATCAAATATATAAGTTGTAAAACAGCTTTTAGAGGAATATATACCTACAACTGGATAAATACCCAAAATCTGAGGAATTATATGCAAGCTGAAGTGTTGGAAATTACCTGTGGTTTTTGATTTGTGATAGTTTTGACTGCAGCGACAGCGATACAACAAAGCTGTTTCGCCGGTGCGGTCGCTAGATTGGGCGTTGCATCTGTATTTCAAGAACACAGAACTACTAAAAAAAAAATATGGGTTGCGCTACCAGCGCAGAAGATAAGGCAGCTGCCGAAAGATCGCGACAAATTGACAAAAATCTAAGGCTAGATGGTGAAAAAGCAGCAAGAGAGGTTAAATTATTGTTATTAGGTATGTATCCTGTGTTAATCAAACGTTTGAATTATTATTTTATAACCGCCATATCAGTTCGGGTTCAGTGGTTCTGTGTACAATCAATGAATGGATTCAAACGGAATCGTGCAATGCAAGGCAACCACTTGCAGAAATATATTTTAAAAATATAAATGATCGCATCGAAAATTATCGCCTGATTCTTCCTGCACATGATCATCACATCTGTAATTCACATTCACTTCTGAGTAATCATCTTGATTTGTTGTTTGTAAACCAAAATGAAAACAAATTATATTTAATCATGGACATGGAGGTATAAAATGAAGGATTGAAAAGGCCACACACACAGGCTAGGCCTAGCCTCTGCCAAGCTTGTGTAGTAGGATGAGCCAGCTCCTACTACTACTATACTAGTTCCTAGACCTAGGAAGGAGTCCTAGCCTAACTGGTTTAAAAGAAATATCTTTGTATACAATGTCAATACACAGCTGACTGGTGTACTAATCATTCCAGGGTCCATTCCCATTATTAGTAGAAAGGGGCTAGGCCTATTGGAGGCCTAGGCTAGACGTTTCGTATAAGAGACAGGTTCCAGGAAGCACATGCGAATCTCAACATTTTGGAGGCTGGACCTGCTCTGCTGGTGAAGTGTGACTCCACCTAAAAAATACAAGCATTCTGATCTTTTGAAGTATCGGAATGTCATTGTATGTGCACCAGCATCGTATAGAATCGATCAGGGAGCTGTTATAGTGAGTCGATGCACAAAGGAAAGATTGGCACAGAAATACTTAAATATTTTTACCAATAATAAGCCAATCAATTGACTGATTTTGGGGTTTTCTGAAAATTTGGGAGAATTCGACAAAATTTGGGATTGCATTGATCACATCAGGAGTGTTCGAACATATAATGGAGGCTTAGCCAACAGTCAAACCATCACTGTGTAGTTTAGACCAGGCAATCTGTCACAGAGCAACGATGGCAGTTAAAAAAATCTGTAGCGACAGGGTAGCAATTGTAGGGAAACCAAGCTTAAGCCAATACACAAAATTTGGTTAACAAAAGACTATCGTGTCTTTTCATCAAGGAGTATGGTACTTCTACTATCCGATTTAGGGAATGGTGCTAGCTCTTTGAAATGACATCGAATGATTTGAATAAGGAGCTCAGCTGATGTTTAGGGTGGGGAGGGAGAATTAAAGATTCGTTTCAGATTGGGCATGCAGTGTTAAAAAATTGCCTTTTTATATCCCTAAGATAACATTTTGTATGAACATTCCTTGGGTATAAGCCTATCCCCTGTAATGTGGTAGGAATATATAGTTGTTAGTGCTCAGTACTTCAAAAATTAATTGCTAGCACAGAGAGGAAATTGCTGTAACATGTCATTGTACTTGTAGATTTAAACTGGCTTCCCAATGTCATACAAATACAGCAAAGGTATTATGTAGCAAATTCGAGAACAATGGCCTATTTTGTACCATGGAGAATCTCTCGCTTAAATTCTTCTATAATTTTTACATTCCAGAATTTTCTCTTTTTTGGATCTAAACAATGACAGTTTAGATCCAAATGATTACCAATCCATAAATTAAGAAAATGAATTATTTATTTAAAATTTATTTGATTTATTGTTATTTTATCTCGCCCAACAGAGTAGGGAGGGTGGGATGGGGGGGGGGGAGTGCATATTGTACACCACAAAGACCTTTGACCTTGGGTAGTACATTGCTATTGAAAAATACTGTTTAGCCTTGATCTGGCTATAAATAAAAGATCAAAATTTTTAATTGATTTTATATGTGCTGACATTCATAGTTTGCTACTAGGCTGTTGGTAGTATCATGGACAAAAAGATAATTTCAAGGTTTTTTGTTTATGAAGTGTTTTGGAATTTTGTATCAAAATATGCCAAAAAAAACCTAATGAATAGATTATACCCATTACTTTTTGCTAGGAATACAATGTTATTAATGTCACAGGTTGTTACAATATTTTGTGTTGTTATTTTTGGCAATTTAGTTTTGGATATTTTCAATTTTTATTTATCATATTGTGAAATATATTTGCCCAACTTAAACAGAGGGAATTCATTAAAATTACTATTACATGAGTTTTTTTGGGGTTTTCTGTTACATATTAAAGGATAAAGGGTAGTCAAAATTTTACCAGTGACCATCCGTCTTTGTTTAGCATTGGAGCCACACTGCAATGCTGTGAGAGGATCGACACTCCTCACAGCGAGTCTGTTTAAACCTTCCTAGCATACAGTATGTCGGTACCCATTTATACCCATAGGTAGAAAAAGAGAAACATAGTCTTGCCAAAGAACACAAGTGACCAACACAGCGAGGGCTTGAACCCCTGACCATGCAGTTGAGGGTCAAAGCCTCAACCACTGCGTCCAACGCATCCACTCCACATAAAGTCTATTGCTATATTAGTTGATTGCAAGTAACCTTTTCTTTTTCTAGCCAGCATAAGCAATTTGATTGTGACCTTTTAAGGGGGTTGGATAAGATAATGTTTGTTTACAACTGATGGCAGGATCAGTTTATCATAAATTTCTTTTTTGTCATGTATTCGGAGGTCATTCACGTGTAGTTTTAGTACAGGTATATTTACTTTAAGCCAAGGCATTCTTTGCATAATGTATTATACACAAGTGCGAGAAAATGCCTGTTTAGTATTATCATAGTTTATTAGTCACATTATAATCTGATTATGTGTTGTTTATTTACCATCTGGTTAGATATACTTTGATAAGTTTGCCTCAGAATTAAATTTAGTCATTAGATACACTGTACTACTATCAATGAATTATAAAGTGGTATTAAAGTTATTGTAAATCTTTTTGTTTGTTTAAACTGGGTAAAGAAATAACTGTACAAAGTAGGTTAAAACATGGAGGTATAAAATAGAAGGAGAAACAACCAACCTAAATCCTATTAACTAAATGGCTTTCTGTGTGATATACTCTAACTTGCTCAATCCTGATTGGCTGCCTAAAATGAATTCAAAAAGGCCGCTCTTGTCTACTGCGCCCAAGGCGACCATTAACACCGCGAGGTCACTGCAAATTACCCATTGATCCTAACTGAGTTGCCGATGGTCGCTTGGTATTCTAATCTCAATACGTGGCCATTCTGTGCCCTGAACATGTATAATACATATTATTTACACGATTTCATTGGTTTAGAGTACGTAGTAGTTCAAAGGTTTACCATATTCGATCGTAAAATGCTGCCCTCTTTCAGACAAACTAAGATTTGTAAAAATCCGATGACTCATCGCGACGTTATGGCTGAACGAAGATTCTAGCAACTACTCGGGGGAAAACGGAGATTTTCTTTCAAATAGGTTTCTCCAGATTATAAAAATATGATATATATGCGCTTAATCGAGAGTATTTTTATTTCCTTGTGTCCAATGAAATACTTTGAGAAACAGGGTTTTAAATACAATGTGTATGTTAAAATGAATAAATAACACAATGAAGACAAGCATTTCAGTTATAAACGTTTATTTACAATGACGAAAGACTTACGATAGGCTAATGACCTACGGGAATACGTGAGAGGTAACATGGGAACGAACGTGGAAAGCACCATGCCAATATTTTTTTTAATGAGCTCCCGAGTAAGCCCCGCACGCACTGAAGCCTCTAAATAAAGAATGTAAAGAAACATGCCATAGTCGGCAAGATCAAGGAGACAATACCAGTAATTTATTACAATTTTAATTATGTATTATTAAAACTAGAAAATACCCGTGTGGTTTTCAACTGTAATCGCCAATGACAAAATCGGCTAACTAAACATAAAAAGTGGATGTATTACGGTCTGGCTAGGTATTCCGTAGATCTAAAGCACTGAGGTTCAGTGAGGTATGCTGTAATTATCAAGATGTAAACAACTCACAAAAGACATGGCCGCAAACTCGTTCTTGGTGGTGTACAGTATCATATACCTAAATTATAAAGGTTTTTAAGTCTAAGCAGACAGGGCTTACGTAAATTTATAATATTGGTAAAATTATTAATGATGGCTGGATGGTAGGCTGGCGTGCAAGTACTGCATGTGTTAATTAATACTATCATTGATGGGAAAATCCAGCGATGCGAAATCCAGTGATGTGAAACCAGTGAAGCGAGACCTGTGCGTTTGCTGCCTACAGACCAACTAGGAATGGTTGACCCCGGATGTGTTCGTTTGCATACTTGCCTGAGGGTATTGATAATGATGTGCGATACCGAGGTTAATGGGTTTTTTTAATGTGTCGGCAACTCAGTTAAGTACAAAGGGTTGTTTCTCCTTCTATTTTTATACCTCCATGGTTAAAATATAAATGGATAATGTTCGTCTCCATTGCCCTCCCAAATTCTTTTTAGGACCGTATAGGGCCTACTGTATTATAAGTAACATCTTTGGCACATAAATTTAAAAAAGGTTTTCTTTCTCAAGCCTGCAACTCAAGCATTTTTTTTATAAATTTATTGCGAATAAAAATACCTTTGAGAAGTGTCATGACATTATTATGCGTGTACTGTACTGTAGGGCTGGTGCATTGCAATGAACTGCCTATATGCGCTATACATTATTCCTCTCCCCTTCAAGCATTTTTAAAAATAAACTTATTGCGAATAAAAATACCTTTAAAAAGTGTCATGACATTATTATAATGATGCGTATACTGTACTGTAGGCCTGGCGCATTGCAATGAACTTCCTCTATGCGCTATTCATTATTACCATCACCATCCCCCCTCCCCCCCAAGTCACTGGATCAAATTCCTGGGAAGCACAAACCCATAAGCAGCTAGAATCTGCGCTCAATGTTACATCCTACCTACCAAGTATCCACATATTCATTACTCCTGGTTGGAGAGAGGCAAACATAGATAAGGTGTCTTGTCTAAGGACACAAGCGACTTTACAGGGATTCGAACCCCGACCTCAAGGTTGAGAGTCTGTGCCGCAAACATTGTGTGCCATTCGCTTCCACGTAAAATGC